AGCCGAATTCTGTCAGTCGATTAGTATATACATTGTTTGCATTCAATGGGTTATAAGCTGTGGTAGCTCTGCTAGCTGTTTGATATTGTCTGATCCTTTCCCTTTTTAATTCATGATACAAAATTTTCTAATGCTTGGTTTTTTTTGCTGCATGTTACAGGTGATCTACACAGAAGGAAAAGTGTCATTCCTACATTTCCTGACAAATATATGCGCTATAATTGGAGGTTCCTCTCATTACCCTTCAATCATTCGATTTACATATATGATTAATTCATCTTTGGCACGAGGCATGGTCATTGACGAACATCTCTTTAGCCTCCCCCTACATCTTAAGATTATGGGGAAAAAAAGGTTCATAGATAGGGCCGTCTATAGAAAATATTATAGGGAAAAACACTTGCAGGTTCTAACATCAATTTTAAAAGTAGTGGTTGCACTGATTTTCACAGTTTGTACTGATTCAGTATTTTGTTTTCACCGAATTGTTTGCACCGATTTAAAATTGGTAGCTGCATTTTCCAATAATATGATGTACTGGGCTTTCTTTACATGATGTGATCTTCCAACATTTTCAACTTTGGAATTATTGCTCCCAGGGGTCTTCACGGTTGCTGGAATCATCGATTCCTTCATCTATCACGGCCAAAGAGCGATTAAGAAGAAGATAGACCTGGGAAAGCACCGATGATGTTGTAATGACCCTTGTCTGGGAAAGCACTGATTTAAATTCTAGAGGAATGCTGAAAGTTAGTAATTTGCTCCGACTACTGTTCAGTTCATGAAATGTCAGCTAGGATTGCGGATACATTGTTTTTTGGGATTGAACATACTGAAAAGTTGATTCCTTTTGGTAGGTGATTTGAGTAATTTTTTTTGTCTGGTTTTGAAAAAGGAAACGCACTGTTTGATAGTATATATCTTGTAGATGGGGATCATACTGAATTAACTTACAAGAAGTAGGGTTTTATGCTATTCCTTGATTTCTTTAGTGGGTATTTGGTTTCAGTGGTAAGTGATGAGTGGATGGCAGATTAATTGGAGCTTTTTAAGAGTAGGAACTTGGGAGTGGTTGGGGAATTATATTGGTTTGCTTTGAGTTTTGTCGAATGGTATCATGTTAGGTATGATTTGTTTACTTTCTTTGCCTAAATTTTGTTTTTATCTAGTAGTTGGCATAATGATATGTCGTCAGCTTAAATTATGAGTTTATGACAAAATATGGCTGTAAAAAGGTTTGTTCCTATCAATTTATTTTTCTCGCTGTTGCATTTTATATTTTTGCTATTTGTGTACTCTGTCAGATTTTTTAGCAAAGCGTATAGGCTAAGCTATACTTCTATTTAAGTTTGTATTGAAAAACTTTCTAGATTCATTACTTATGAAATTTCAGTCCATGTAATGTGCACATTTTAATCAAATGATTCTATCCGAAAGTACAAGAAAATCGATTCAGAACTGAGCATGTTTTTTATGAGCTTATGGCCTCTTGGATTAGGTTCTTGTAAATGGAAGATTAGGATTCATGAGCCAACCACAAAATTTTTATAATTGTAATAGTAATTCAACGGTTTCTATTGATGATTCAGCCAATGAGGCTGCTGCTATGGATGCTGTTTTGGTTAATACTCACCAGGTGTTGACTTGCTTGAAATGTCAATTGATGGTTGCTTGTGTTGATCTTTCTTGTAGTTTTACAAATGGTTTTTGGATCTGAAATCAGCGAGGTATGGTCAAGTACTGCCAAAAGCAACGAGGTATGCATACACAAAGGATTTTCACTGTGGAGTATGTAAGGGTAGCACACTAGCGCAATTGTTCTCTTCATAACTTGGTTATGATTAAGCTTGAGTAAAGGAGCGGTCTGAATGGTGCATTTTAGCAGGCGATTCTCCCTGCTAACGTGCTCCTCCGCTTAGATCTCAAATGGCGAAGACGAAGAAGAAGAAGGTTGGAAGCAAAGGAATCTTGAGTGGAGAGCTAAGGGATTCGATCTTCATTTACAAATCCTCGGCTACTGGTGAGTCCTCGTTCAATACTGGAGAATTTTTGGATGGAACAGTTAACTCTCAAATCTCTAAAGGAATGGAGATGGAGAGTATGGGTCCAAAAGGAGCAAAGAAGAAGCTGATGATGAATGATATTCTTGCTAGAGCTGGTTCTGGTTCAGATCCGCTGATTCTTCAAAAGGATGTTGGTTTTAGATCTCGTCAGCTTAGTTCCTCTCCATCTTGGGCTGATGAAAATGAGGAAAGTATTGATTCAGATCCAGTTGCTATTTCCTCTTTGAGAGATGGTAATGAGGAGATTTTCACCCCTTTTACAGATAGAAATGTGAATTTGGATGTAGGAAAAAGTTCTTCTAATTTTGATGAGGTAAATGGCCTTGATCAGGATGAGGTTAAGAATCTTAATGCCATTGAGAAAGAAGAAAAGAAATCTTTTGCTAGTCTTTTTTCTGACAATAGAAAATTGGGAAGTGGTTTACCATTAAATTTTGTTCCTTCTTCTAAAACTAATACTGTTACATTCAACGATGAAGAATGGAAGGAAGGTGAAAATCTTTGGAAATTTACTTTGATTGGACATGTAATTGGGATGAATGTCAAAATTTAAATCTATGGAGTCCTATGTCTCAAAACTGTGGAGCAGAATATCTATTCCAAGGGTTTTCTTACTTAAGCAAGGGGTTTTCTTGTTTGAATTTCAATCTGACAGTAATATGAGAGATATTCTGGAAGCAAGTCCATGGTTTTTTGGCTCAAGACCTCTAATTCTTAAGCCATGGACAATTGACACTGATATTGAGAAGCTTCAAGATCACTCATATCCAATCTGGGTTCAGTTTCCTAATCTTCGTTTGAATCTTTGGAATTCCACTGGTATAAGCAAGGTTGCTAGCTTGATTGGGTGCCCCATCACTACTGATAAACTTACTGCCACGAGGCAACGCTTGAGTTATGCCAGAGTCTTGTTAGAAGTGAAACTCCCTTTAACTGACCCTCTACCTGATCAAATTCAAATTCAGGGCCCTAATGGTATTAGCTACCACCAAAAGGTCTTATATGAGTTTAAGCCTAGATGGTGTTCTCTATGCAAAAATGTAGGGCATGAAACTCATCAGTGTAGGAGAAACACTACAAAGTTACACATATTTCTGGAAGTAAGAAAACATGCACAGATAGGGAAACATGCACAAGTTACACATATTTCTGGAGAAAATGTTGTAAGAAAACATGCACAGATAGGGAAACATGCACAAGTTACACATATTTCTGGAGAAAATGTTTTTGATTCCTTACAACATGCATATGAAGCTGGGAAGGTGAAGGACAAGGGTCATATGCAACAGGTGCCTGGGGGGCTTGCTACTCTCTTTGCTGGCAAACAGAAAATTGGGTTTACTAGTGTGTCTGGTTCTCGTACTACAAAAAAAGCCTTTATCAATAACTCTGATACACCTATTCAATCCTCACACTTCTCTATTTTAGATCATCAGATTTGTGAATTGGATCCCTCCAATACTGATAGAGGAGGGGAAGGAGGGTTAACTCAATAAATGCATTTAGCAATTTGGAATATTAGAGGGTTTAACAAACCCTCTAAACATGGGATAGTTAAAAAATTTATCCAGGATCATAATATCTCTTTTTTGGCTCTGTTAGAAACCAAATTGGCTGGGGATGGTAAAATTCAGACTATTGGAAATAAGATTGCCAAAGATTGGAAGTGGATAGCTAATACAAATATGACAAGAACTGCCAGGATATGGATTTTATGGGACAATGAGATTATCTCTACACAAGTCATTAAAATCTCTGGGCAATATTTGACCTGTGAGATTAAGTCTAAAGATGGGGAATTATTTTGCTTGTTTACTGCAGTTTATGTCCTTAATCACATTGAGGGTAGGAAAGTTTTATGGGAAGAATTATTGGATTTTAAGAGTAATGTTGAGATCCCCTGGGTTGTGGGTGGTGATTTCAATGCTATTATTAATGGTGAAGAGAAAGCTGGAGGTGCTCAAGTTACTGATGCTGAGACTCAAGATTTTCAGAATTTTATTGCCTCTAGCCAACTGCTGCATATCAAAACTACTGGTCTCTTTTTTACCTGGAGTAACAAACATGAGTCTTCTTCTAGAGTCTGGAGTAGACTAGACAGAATTCTGGTCAATGAGGATTGGATTAATAAGTACACTGCCAGTCAAGTTGAATTTTTGATTCCCCTTTGCCCTGATCACTCTCCAGGTCTTATAACTGTGGGTGATAACAATGTTGAGGGAAAGAAGACATTTAAATTCTTTAACATGTGGACTAAGCATCCTGATTTTTTGTCTTTGGTTAATTCAGTATGGAATCAGGAGATCATGGGCTATAACATGTTCAGGTTTTGTTCTAAACTCAAGAAGCTTAAACCTGCTCTCAAGGAACTTAATCAATCTCAATTTATGCATATCAGCCAACAAGTACTAAGAGCTAAATCTGAACTATGTGATATCCAATTAAGACTCAGTGCAGATCTGTTCAATTCTGACCTGATATTAAAGGAAAAGGATTGTATCAAGAAGTATACTAAGTTGATTGATTGTGAAAGCTCCTTCTACAGTCAAAAAGCTAACATAAATTGGAGATTGCATGCTGATAAGAGCACTCATTTCTTCCACTCAGTTATGAATGCTAAAAGGCACAAAAACAGGATTTTATCTTTACATACTGAAGATGGTGCAAGAATTTCTGATACTCCTGACATTATATCAGAATTTGTTCATTACTTTAAGGATTTGTTGGGGACTGCAAGGCCTACTTCTCCTCCTGATCCTGCAGTGATCTTAAAGGGCCCTATCTTAACTTCAGACCAGTGTAGTGACCTTTGTTCTCCTGTTACCAGGGATGAGATTAAGCATGCATTATTCTCAATGTCTGACACTAAAGCTCCTGGCCCTGATGGTTACAATGCCTCTTTTTTCAAGGCTGCTTGGAGTATTATAAATGAGGACTTATTCCTTGCTATTGAGGAGTTTTTCCACTCAGGTAAGCTGTTAGGCACTCTTAACACAACAGCTATTACATTGGTTCCAAAGATTCAGAATCCCAGCTCTACATCTGATTTTAGGCCCATCTCATGCTGTAATATTACATATAAAATTATCACAAAGATAATTGCAAACAGGGTCAAAAAAGTCCTGGGATACCTTGTTAATGAAGCACAAAGTGCTTTTGTGAAGGGGAGACTTATTTCCAGCAACTTTTTGTTAGCTCATGATTTAATCAAGCACTATGGGAGGAAGCATAATTCTCCAAGAGCTATATTAAACATTGACTTGAAAAAGGCTTTTGATACAATTAGTTGGGAGTTTATCAAGGTTATGCTTACTGGCCTGGGATTTCCTAGCATTATGATCAATTGGATCATGCAGTGTATAACTACACCAAAATTCTCAATAGCAATTAATGGAGGATTGCATGGCTATTTTCAGGGGGCTAGGGTTTTAAGGCAAGGGGATCCCCTCTCCCCTTAGCTATTTGTCATTGGTATGGAGTATTTGTCAAGGAGTTTAAGTGCTTTGAAGGATGATAGGCAGTTTAAATTTCATCCGAAATGTTCAAAATTGAATATTACTCATCTGATATTTGCGGATGATTTGCTTCTATTTAGCAAAGCTGATTTATACTCAGTGGCCAAAATCTATCAGTGCTTTCAAAATTTTAGTCTGGTTTCTGGTCTGGATGCGAACCTGAGTAAATGCTCTGTTTATCTATCTGGGATTGAGGAGGGCATTAAGGCTCAAATTTGCAGCTACTTGAACTTTTCAGAGGGTGTTCTGCCTATGAAGTATCTTGGTTTACCATTGAGTACAAAAAGGCTATCTTATATTGATTGTTCTTCATTGATTGGAAAAATTCAAGACAAGTTTCAGTTTTGGCAGCAGAACAGAAAACTGTCATATGCAGGTAGACTTCAACTTATCAAATCAGTCATTCTTGGTATCCAAACTTTTTGGATTAGCAACTATGTCTTGCCAATCAAAGTATTAGAGAGGATTGATAAGCTATGCTCTGACTTTCTATGGGGTAAAAAGATTCATTTAGTTGCATGGAATACAATCTGTCAGGAGAAAAGACAGGGTGGTTTGGGCCTATTCTCTGCAAAACTTTGGAATCAAGCTGCTGCTACAAAATTATTATGGATGATTCATCTTAAAAAAGATATTTTGTGGGTTAAATGGATCCATGAGAACTATCTACAAACCTGTAATCTTTGGGAGGCTCAAAATAGAGTGAATGACTCTTGGATGTGGAAACAACTCCTCAGGGTGAGAGACATGCTGTTGAATAAGTTTGGAAGCTTTGCATCTCTGAAAAATGCAATTGATGACTGCTGTTGCAATGATAAAATCCAGCAATCTGCAGTTTACAGCAAACTGGCACATTCAGCTGCAACTCCAGTGAGCTGGTATGAGACTGTCTGGGACAATTTTAACTTTCCTAAACACTCATTTACTGTCTGGTTAGCTTGCAATTCAAAACTTCTTACCAAGGATAGGCTATGCAGATTGGGGATTTTAAATCCTAATCAAAACTGTTGTGTTCTGTGTTCTAGTCATCAGCTAGAAACAATTAGCCATCTGTTTTTTGATTGTCAGTTTTCTGCGGGAATATGGAATGGAGTTATAGATTGGTTGAATTTTAAATGGAGGTCTTGTGATTGGAACATGATCATTGGTTGGTATTCTAACAATTTAAAAGGAAAGGGTTCCAAGAAGAAGTTAAAGAGGCTTGCACTTGCTGACACAACTTATATGATTTGGCAGGAACGCAACTTGAGGATTTTCCAAAGCAAAATGAGGAGCTCGCTGCAGGTTCTTCATAATATCAAACTGTCAATTTATACAAAAGTGTTACATGAGAGTACAAATGTTCATATGAGGAATCTCATTTTGTAGTTTGTTCTTTTTGATTACCAGAGAATGTCTGGTTTTTGATATGTTACACAATGTCCATATTGAAAATGAATAAAATTCAGTTCATTTACCAAAAAAAAAAAAAAACTTGGTTATGATTTCTTTTGAACAGGCAATGGATCTGTGCCTTGATGATTGTTATGGATATGTGCCTTGATGCTCGTTCAAAGCTTGCTAGCATCATGAGATCATCATGTCTAAAAGAATCAGTCTCTTCGTAAAGGCTAATTATTGGAGTACGTACTTGATAAACACAAATATTCTCTATAATTTGACTATGTTTCACCTATGGATTTGTTGTTATTTGATGTATTTCCTTGCAATTTTGCCCTGTTAAGCTCCATAGTTCTTGTTTACTTCTCTATTTATATATTGTGTAGGAATTACTGGAGCTTAGCGCAGATTCGGAGTCAAGAAGGACTCAAGGAATGCAAGAAAAGTGGCTACAGGGTCACCCAGTGTTCAACAACACAGGCGTGTTGATTACAGAAGATAAGCCTAGAAAGCAGAGCGAAACAGAATTAAACACGGCCTGGTCATGTCGATCTGCACAGCCGTGTTGGATGACAGCAGTCAGTTATCATGCGATCTGGAGCATTATTTGAAGTTATCTTTCAACACGTTTTTGTAAAAGAATTAAAAGGAGACGCCCTGAAGCATCAGTGAGAGACCAGAGGCTGGAGATCTTGATTTTTCTTTCTTCTTCTTCTCTTCTTCTCTCTAAAAAAAACTCTTAGATTAGGTTTTTCTTTTGCTTTGGAACCTGCTGTTTGTGGAGAATTGTGTGCAACTTCGACACTACGGTTTATCTTTCTGATCTATTTCAATTTCTAGTTTATGATTATGATCTTATATATTGTTATCATGTTTTCTATTTCAATTATGTCTGAGTAATTGTCTTATCTGGGATTGAACAAGGTTCGGCTGTGATTATGAATTAATGAACTGATTGTTGTTGTTTTTTATCGTTCGATTTGCATTATTCAACTGCTAGATCTAATTGCCTAGGGTTAATTCAATTGGCCACTGATTTAATTCTTTTAGGATGTTGATTTGAACTGAAAGGTTAGATTGACGCCGAAAAATAGTAATTGAACAAGAATTAATTGATCACGAAAGTAGGTTAATTATTCTTGAGAACATGAGAGATTAACAAGAACTTTAATTTGGTTTAACACTATGAAAATAGGTTGTTAGGCTGAATTAAGCACGACTTTTAGTCGTCGAAAGAGACTAATAGTTATCATAGGTTAGTCGTTCTTAATGCATTGAGAGATTCGATAACAATTGATTAATTCGTTGATTCAAACCAGAGTTGAAACCGAAGTTCAATCCTAGATCCTTTTAATTGAGTGAATTCGTCGTTGATACTAGCTAGCGTGTTCGTTATTGATAATCAAAAATCATACTTTTTAACACAATTGGTTTAGATAGTCACAAAACAGTGAAAATCAGTAATTAACAACGAAGTCCCTGAGGATACGACCTTGCATCGCTACAACGATATCCGTGCACTTGCGGATTTGAGTGAACAAGTTTTTGGCGCCGTTGCCGGGGACTTCGGCATTGTTAATATTGGCTTTTTCATTGTTTGACTAGACTAGACATTTTCTTTCATTTATTTTATTTTTATTTTTATTTTTATTTTTTTTCGTTTGACTTGTTTTTTTTAGTGCAGGCACCCTTGTATGCCCAGATCCTTACGACTTGGAGAACCAATCGAGTGTGATCCCGAGATTGAAAGGACCTTGCGTCATATTAGGAAGAAGGCACGAGAAACAAAGGATAATTTGAAAAGCAAAAACACCATGGGAGACCAAGAAAACCAAGGCAATCAAGACCGATCCTTGAAGGAGTTTGCATCACCAACCACCCATAGCTCCCAATCTAGCATCTTGAAGCCTAATGTTGCTGCCAACAATTTCGAACTCAAGCCCTCACTCCTCTCCATAGTTCAGCAAAACCAATTTGGAGGCACTCCAACCGAAGACCCAAACCTCCACATCTCAATCTTTCTGGAGTATTGTGACACCTTGAAGATGAATGGAGTGTCGGATGATGCAATCAAGCTAAGGTTGTTTCCCTTCTCACTAAGAGACAAGGCAAGGGCTTGGCTGCAATCACTTCCACCGGGCTCCATCACTACATGGGACCAACTCTTAGAAGCGTTCCTTGCTAAGTACTTCCCTCCGAGCAAAACAGCCCAATTGAGAAATCAGATAACAACCTTCACTCAAAAAGAAGGGGAGTCATTGTATGATGCATGGGAGAGGTACAAGGATCTTCTAAGGATGTGTCCACATCACGGGTTGGAGGATTGGCTCATAATTCACACTTTCTACAACGGTCTTCTCTACAACACAAGGATGACCGTGGATGCTGCAGCGGGTGGTGCATTGATGAACAAAAGTGTACGAGATGCAAAGCAACTCATAGAGGATATGGCACAGAATCATTTCCAGTGGTCAAGTGAGCGCCCTTTACCCAAAAAGAGCGGGAGGTATGATGTAGATGCATTAGACCACATTGCTTCTAGAGTAGATGCTTTATTTCAAAAAATTGACAAGATGAGCATGAATTCAGTAGCATCTAACTCTACTAACTGTGAAATATGTGGTATCATTGGACATTCTGCTATGGAATGTCAGATTGGAAACTCCCCTTCCCCTGATGCACCATTATCTGAACATGTTAATTATATGAATACTTTTAATCAGAAAGGGGACCCTTTTTCCAATACATACAACTCGGGGTGGAGAAATCATCCTAATTTATCCTATAAAAATCCACCCCTGAACCCGTTTCCTCACTCAAATTTTCGACCTCCAGGTTTTCAAACCCCTAGACTCCCTTACCCTAGTCCCCAAAAGTCCAACTTAGAAAGCTTGATGGAAAATTTCGTGACATCCCAGAATAAGCAAAATGAAGAATTTATAAATCAGAATAGGATCATGAATGATGCCATTAAGAACCTAGCCTCTAAAGTTGACTCCTTAGCCACCCACAACAAAATGCTAGAGAATCAGGTCACTCAACTAGCCCAACAATTTAACTCTTCTTCTAGATCAGGTCACTCAACTAGCCCAACAATTTAACTCTTCTTCTAGGTCTTTGGGTATGTTTCCTGGACAACATGAAACCATCCCCAAGGAATCTATCAATGCCATTACACTTAGGAGTGGAAAAGAGCTAGAGACACCAATGATGAGGAGTGATCATAGGGATGTGGGTGATGAGAGTGAGAAGTTGGTGACAAGTGAGAAAGAGCATATTGGTGAGAAAGGGGAGAAGGTTGAGAGATATGTAGCACCTGCACCTTATAAGCCTCCACTACCCTTCCCTCAAAGGCAAGTTAAAGCTAAGTTGGAAAAACAGTTTGGGAAATTCATAGAAATATTAAAAAAATTGCATATTAACATCCCATTTGTTGAAGCCATTTCCCAAATGCCATCCTATGCCAAATTCTTAAAGGAGATTCTATCAAATAAGAGACGATTAGAGGAATATGAGACTATAGCATTGACCCAGGAGTGTAGTGACATCATTCAAAATAAGTTACCACCTAAGCTTAAAGATCCTGGCTCATTTTCAATCCCTTGCACAATTGGTGATATGTCAATTAATCGTGCTCTATGTGATCTTGGTGCTAGTGTCAGTCTTATGCCATTGTCTATATGTAACAAGTTACAGATGGAAGACTTGAAGCCTACTACTATCTCCCTCCAATTGGCGGATCGATCGGTTAAACGTCCGGTAGGTATATTAGAGGATGTACCCATCCAGGTTGGTAAATTCTTTATTCCAGTTGATTTTGTTATTCTTGAAATGGAGGAGGATTCTCAAATCCCCATTATATTGGGAAGACCTTTCCTTGCTACCGCTGGAGCGATAATTGATGTGAAGAATGGAAAGCTCTCTCTCAATATAGGGGATGAAAAGGTGAATTTTGATTTGTTTTCTGCTATGAAGTTTCCACTAATTGATGATACTTGTTGCAGGATTGACACGATTGACATGGTGGTTAGAGAAGATTTTACCAGAGATATCTCAAGTGATCCACTTGAGAAATGTTTAGTAAAGAATGGGGTACCAGATGATGATGATCAGGAAATAACTTCCTATGTTACAATTCTTGATAAAAAGCCAACCTACACCAAAACCACCTACATCAAAGAACCTGATATAGTGGTCGAAATTGCAAGGGGGCTGAATGATCAGGTTGTGTCTGTAAACACAGCTGTGTCAAAAAGCAGCAGAAACAGCCCAGAACAGGTTTGTGAAGAGAAAACTGCACCTGGGAAGATGCTGAATAATGATTCCACACGGCCATGGTGTGTTCGTAGACACAGTCATGTCAAAAAGCAGCAGAAGAAGTCTAGAACCAGTCCATCTCCACCAGTTGAAGTGGAACATAAGGCACATTGGGCTATCAAGAGCATTCATTTATATTTGAAAGAATCAGGGGAACAGAGAAAGCTTCAACTAAATAAACTCGATGAATTAAGGTTGGATACATATGAGAATGCCAAGATTTACAAAGAAAGAACAAAGAAGTGGCATGATCAACACATCCTTCATAAAGAATTTACAAAAGGAGACCTGGTACTTTTGTTTAATTCTCGACTAAAGCTTTTTCCGGGAAAACTTCGTTCGAGGTGGTCTGGACCATTCCAAGTGCGTAAAGTATACCCATTTGGGGCTGTCGAAGTATGGAGTGAAGCCACGGGAACCTTCAAGGTCAATGGACAGCGATTAAAGCATTATTTCACAGGAACTCCGATTGAGAAGTTGGGTACTTTTACCCTTCCCGATTCATCATCATTGTGAGCATTGAAGGGGTCGAGCTCATGACCATAAACAAACGCTTCTTGGGAGGCAACCCAAGTTTTTCTTTCACTTTATTTTCCTTTTAGTGTTTTAATTATTAGTTTTCATGACATGTAATCAGGTTGTCGTGAACTGGTGTGTAGGTGAATGACAAAGGGAAAATAGGTAATAGAGAGTTCAAGGCTAAAGAGGCAGAAGAAAAAAAATATTGAATACNCCGACTGACCACCCCACCTCTTTGAGAAAACAACCGCATCCCTTCCTTTCACCACCCCAAACCACTGTACTCTTTCATCCTTCACCATCAAAATCGCCTACTAACTACTTCCCCAAAACCACTTCCCTCCCCAACTTTGATTCCACCACTCAACACTTCCGCCTCTCTCTCATTCATCACATCCAACACCACCAAATCGCTAGGCATGCCTCCAGCGCCAAGACACCGCCCTTGTCGTTACGCCCAGAGCAACGCCAACATTCATAGACCAAATTCTTTCATTCAACATCTGAAACTTCCAGATCTGTTCTCATCATGGACACTTGCTTGGACAATTTTAGCAATACACTTGGAACAATGAATGACCAGAAGCAACATATGCACCAATGGTCACTACTTCATGGCTATCCACCTCCTCCACCACCACAATGAGCAGTAAGTCCCTTTTCTCTTTTTTTCAGTTATTTACACATTGGGGACAATGTGCAATTCAAGCATGGGGGAGTAGGTTTGTTGGGATGATGTTTCATGTATGCTTTGGTGTTTTTGAGTGCTTGTTTTCTGTGTTGGTATTTTTCCTTTAGCTTAAAAAAAGGAGTACCACTATTCAGCAAAACCTTTTAGCACGTACATCATTTATTTCACATGCCCCATTGTTAAAAAAAAATCTTTGTTTCATGTTCAGTTAGTTAGGATGTTATCTGTTCGAGTTCCACTTTGTCGATACTTAACTCTAAACATTGGAGAGATAGGAATGGATTTTGGCTCAACCCATCTAATTAAAACCTAAGCTTCTTTGGTGACTTGGAATACTTTTTGGTTACTGGAGAAACACTCGGCCTTGTATAAAAAAAAGTCCTAAAGTCTGTTGCACCGAGTACCTGGCACCGCACCCTCAGAAGTATGGCTGTCACGTCAGTAGGTGTTAATTATGACGGGATTTTCAAAAAAAATGAATAAAATGCAAGGAAACCGAGTGCTCCTTTGAGACCTTAAGTAGGAAGAGTATGACCCATTGTGATGAGATATGTGTCTGTCACAAGGAGTTTTGGGCAATTAACTAAAAAATTTTTTTTTTAACTTTGTCATGCCATTTCTCTTTCCAACGTTTATGAGTTGAGTCACTTGCACAAACGTACGTGAATGCCTACAGATACATTTTCTTCAACTTTGAACTTGAGACAAGATTTCTGTTTTGACATTGGGCTGAGTGGAATAATGTTGCATGTGAACTTGAGAATAGTGGATACCTTTGTGCTTAATTTCTATTTTCTTTGAATTTGTACCCTCTCATGTGTGTGTCACCATCTGTTTTGCTTGAGGACAAGCAATAGTTCAAGCATGGGGGAGTTGATAAACACAAATATTCTCTATAATTTGACTATGTTTCACCTATGGATTTGTTGTTATTTGATGTATTTCCTTGCAATTTTGCCCTGTTAAGCTCCCTAGTTCTTGTTTACTGCTCTATTTATATATTGTGTAGGAATTACTGGAGCTTAGCGCGGATTCGGAGTCAAGAAGGAGTCAAGGAATGCAAGAAAAGTGGCTACACGGTCACCCAGTGTTCAACAACACATGCATGTTGATTACAGAAGATAAGCCTAGAAAGCAGAGCGAAACAGAATTAAACACGGCCTGGTCATGTCGATCTGCACAGCCGTGTTGGATGACAGCAGTCAGTTATCATGCGATCTGGAGCATTATTTGAAGTTATCTTTCAACACGTTTTTGTAAAAGAATTAAAAGGTGACGCCCTGAAGCATCAGGGAGAGACTAGAGGCTGGAGATCTTGATTTTTCTTTCTTCTTCTTCTCTTCTTCTCTCTAAAAAAAACTCTTAGATTAAGTAATTGTCTTATCTGGGATTGAACTAGGTTCGGCCATGGTTATGAATTAATGAACTGATTGTTGTTGTTATTGATTGTTCGATTTGCATTATTCGGTTACTAGTATCTAATTGCCTAGGGTTAATTCAATTGGCCACTGATTTAATTCTTTTAGGATGTTGATTTGAACTGAAAGATTAGATTAACGCCGGAAAATAGTAATTGAACAAGAATTAATTGATCACAAAAGTAGGTTAATTATTCTTGAGAACATGAGGGATTAACAAGAACTTAATGGGTTTAATTTGGTTTAACACTATGAAAATAGGTTGTTAGGCTGAATTAAGCACGACTTTTAGTCGTCGAAAGAGACTAATAGTTATCATAGGTTAGTCGTTCTTAATGCATTGAGAGATTCGATAACAATTGATTAATTTATTGATTCGAACCAGAGTTGAAACCGAAGTTCAATCCTAGATCCTTTTAATTGAGTGAATTCGTCGTTGATACTAGCTAGCGTATTCGTTATTGATAATCAAAAATCATACTTTTTAACACAATTGGTTTAGATAGTTACAAAACAGTGAAAATCAGTAATTAACAACGAAGTCCCTGAGGATACGACCTTGCATCGCTACAACGATATCCGTGCACTTGCGGATTTGAGTGAACAATACTTGTTAATGACGAGAGAGAACATTATTTTTTTGTTGTTACTCACTTTGTAACTCAATGTTTTTGCTGTGTTGTATAATGATGGATAAATTTTATTAACAGATATTATTAAATTAGTTAAAAACTCGATTATCTTACTTGCAGAATTGATCCTTTTTTTTTGCTTAAAGTAGGTTCCCAAAAATGTACAAAGTAGGTTCCAATTTTATATAATGACGGAATGCTCATTTTGTAACTCAATGCACAAAGTAGGTTAAAAAAAACTATAGTAAGCATCCTAGATTCCGTCTAGGATGTTTTCTAGACGGAAATCCGCCTAGGAAGTATCCTAGATGGAATTTCCGTCTATGAAGCATCCTAGATGGATAATTCTAGACGGAAATAAAACATGTCTAGGAAGTTTCCTAGACGGATTTTATTTCCGTCTAGGATTATCCGTCTAGGATGCTTCCTAGATGGAAATTCTATCTAGGATACTGTATCCTAGACAGAAACTTACTGGACGGACATCCTAGACGGGATTCCATCTAGGGTAGTCTTCTTAGACGGAAAAATGTTTTTTCTAGACGGAATTTTCCGTCTAAGATGCCTCATTTTGTACCAGTGGAATAAGTTTATTCTTAATGCAAAACTATATTCTTAATGCAAAACTATATTCGTTGAATTGCACTCAATTTTTAATTTATGATCATGGTAAAATATATTTATAATTATGCATCAAATAATAGATATATCTGAATTGCATCTACATTTAGTGGAGAGAACCTAAGTAGCTATTTTTACCATTATCTTTTTAATACTACTGCCACATAAATATCTTTTATTTAATAAAACTTGAATGACTTTTTCATAGAGACCACCTTTAGTAGGGGAGGCTATGGAAATCACATAGGTCTACTACTTTTTAGTTAAAATTTTTGGATAATTGACCTTACCTAACCTCAATTATGGACCGTATATTTATTATTTGGCAGTTAATTATTACAACAAAATTGAAAAAATTTGAGTTAAATGTGGACCCAAGTGGTTGTCCGCAACTAAAAATAATTTAAAGATAGTTAATGTAGAAATTAAAAATTAAAGATAGTTTTTATAGAATGAATCTATCTTAAAGGTGGTTTCTATGAAAATAACCCAAATTTGAATAACCATCTTCCCTTAAGTTAGTACACATACACACATGGTTGCATGTAGGGGTGTCCAAAAAGCCCGCGACCCGCCCCGGCCCGGAGCCTGACCCGGGTCCGGGTCAGCGCAATTGGCCATTTGACCGATTTGCCCCTTAAAACGGTCAAAAACAGCTAGAATATGAGGGTTTTTTGGTCATTTGCCTAGGGGGCTGCCTCTATAAATAGAGGGGGTTTTTTTACTTCTTCTCCTCACACCAAAACTCTTCTACTTCTCTCTAATACTTTCTTATACAATATTATACTCTCTTATAATCTCTTATATTTTCTAATACTTCTATCAAATGGTTTCTGAATCTGATTATGAAGAGCAACACCTATCTCCTACCGATCCAGAAATGAGTCCTCCTACAACAACAACTACTCCTCCTATTGATGTTAATCCTGAATTTGGTGGCGACGAATCTACTGTACCAAGAGCTCCTAAAAGGCCGAGATCCGATGTGTGAAATTTTTTTGAGAATATAAACGTCACCAAGGATGAACACGGTAAGATCATTTCCCAGAAGGAAAAATGTACGTTGTGCGGTCAGGTTTTCCAAGCCCATCATAAGAGCGGTACCAACCATCTTAAACGCCATATAGAAAAACACAACAAAGGCTAGAATCTTCAAGGTGATATCCGACAGTCTATGATTTCCCAATCCTCCTCTTCTGGCACCCTCGGTAGTTAGAATTATGACGCTGCTCTAGCTAGGAAATGCGTAATCAGGTTTATTGTTCTTAAAAACCTGTCTTTTAAATTAGTAGAAGATGATGATTTATTGTTCTTAAAAACCTGTCTTTTAAATTAGTAGAAGATGATGAATTTGAAGATTTGTTTAGAGATGATTTTTATCCTGTATTTACAAATAGTAGAAGATGATGAATTTGAAGATTTGTTTAGAGATGATTTTTATCCTGTATTTACAAAATTTTCTCGTCAAACCTGTCAACGTGATATTTTACAATATTATCAGGAGGAATAAGGAAAAATAATTTCTTATTTTAAAAATTTAAACTGTAAATTTTTTTAACTTCTGATATTTGGACATCTAGAGTACAAACTGATTATTTATGTATCACAGCACACTGGATTGATTAAAATTGGCAAATGTTTAAAAGAGTTATTTCTTTTATTACAATTGAAGAGTCACACATTGGTATTAATATTACAAATTTAATAATTGAAGAACTTATGAAACTAGAAATTGATCAAAGAATATTTTCTCTTTCACTAGATAATGCAAGTAATAACAATGTAGCTGTTGATTTTATTAAAACAACTCTGTCATT